GTGCGCGCGCGCGCGTGCTTGCGAGCGTGCGTGCGTGCGTGCGCGCGCGCAGATGTGGGTGTGCATTTGTGTGTGTGTGGGGGGGGTGCGTGCGTGCGTGCGTGCGTGCGTGCGTGCGAGTGCACGCAATGACTTTAAAGATTTTTGCTAATAACATAGTTGCGTAGGTTATTCTCTCAGTAGCTATACTCATCGTACCCAAGAAGTAGAAAGGAACGCTTTGCCACTTTTTTCGTGATAAACAATTTTGCTGGCAGACGATTAAAAGTAACTACGCACTTTTTGGTGGAAGAATACAGGCAGGAGAATCTTCTGTGGATTCGCGGATTTCCAGATTTTTTTCAAATTATAAATCATTCTTGAGATGACTGCAAATCCAGCAATAGTCCACGTGACTCTCTCACAATTGTGGTCGCGCTTGCATATATCATGTATCAGTGCTAATTGTGGTTTCTTCCTTTTTGCTCGCACTGCGCAACCTAAAATAGCCCGACTGCGACTGACAGCAAGTGTATGCCTAGTACCAGGAGTAAACAATCCAAATGTAACAGCTTCAGAAGCTAAAGTTTTGTTCATTTTTGTGATTTAATGTTTGCTTTACACACCTAACCCTACCACAGAACGAACCACACCTACCATTTCCCCCCAAAAAATATATGAGAGCATTTAACTAAAATACTGTTGCCCATACTAGAGCTATATACACTGCTACGGCAATGCACAGCAGATAGCAGGATAATTTATGTTATCCTGCCGGATGCTTGTGTTATCAACTTGTGTTATGACATGAGTGTTATGATGGCCGTTAATTGATGTACGCCAGTGTAGCATGGCGTACATTCCCCTAGGGTGAACACCCACCCTCTACATGGGCGGGGAAATTTGGCCTTTATTGCCAAATCTCAATGTAGATTAGAGATGTTTGCGATGGAAGGTGTATGTATACCCTGCTACGCAGACAACCAACGATTTAATGGATAATATGTACAAACCTTCGGAGGCGCTGCCATACTATTTGTGTGGTGAAGCCCACAAAATGAGATATAATTATTTTGATGTTGATGTTTTAATAACAGACTTTGATGTGTTTATAATTGTTCAGATCATAAACAAGCTTACTCGATGCTCTACTTTGCTGTGTGAGACAGGTTCGTGCAGCACTTTGGCAACATTGATCAGTATTCGTCAAATATCAACCAATTCAGAATTAGCCGGTATGCTGCGAAGAGTAATACTGTTAATGTCGCTGCTGGCGCTCCCTGGTGCCAGCTCATGAGCACGTGAAACCTGCGGCTATAAATGGCTGACGTGCGCCTTGCTAATCATTTAACAACAAAACCTCAAATTTCTAAAGTAAAGTAGATTTGGGCTATCTCTCTTGCCGGAGGTCAAATAGCAGTCCATTCATAATTTGGACTCTTGAAATGAAATTGGTGTCTCAATTCGCAATAGAATGTGAGTTATTCGTAACTATTCTGGTGGTGCAGAGCACACACGTGCACACGCACGCGCACACACGCGCACGCATGAACGCCTAACCTTTCAAATTAGTTTAACTCGAGTTCAAACCGACATCCTGAACTAACAATAGTTTGCCTGACCCCCCGCCCCCTCCTTTTCACTCTCTACGTATTAAACGCGTCTGTAGCACTGAACACGAGATTTTTTGTTACACGAGCAAAGGCCACTGATAAAAATGATGACAAAGATGGCAACCGGTAAATTAGAGTGCCTCAGCTTCTCGACAGTTCCTCTCGCCAGGTCACCGAACATCGGAGGCAATTACTAAAGAAAAAAAGATAGCTGAATGGTGACGTCTGTAGCATCAATGACTTCTTTCGTCTCTAAATAAAGAGCATGTTCAGAATTCATCCTCTCCACACGTGCGCTAATTTTCGGTGCTGCGTATAAAGGCTTGGAGAGACACTGGTTTCTCTATGCATCCATGGCGGCGGTAGCGGCAGGTAGGAGAAGATTATTATGGAGTAGGAAACGTCAAACGCAAGGAGATCCAATATGAACTCGTACGGAGTTAGCTACGATTTATAAATCGCAACTCAGAAAACCCTTGTCGCGAAAGTCGCGTAGTATATTACAACCAGAACTAAACCTTTGTTCAGTGCTGTCTCCTTTGCTGTTTTACTATTGATTTGTAGCTTAAAACGTGCCGCATCGTTTTAGCCGATTTTGTTTTCAATTTGAAAGTATTTGCAGCTGAACGTATACGAACCGCTAATGTGAAGGACGTCTGTGTGGGTCGAAACTCAGAGGTTGTTGCTCGCGAATCGTTGCGAGCCGCATCGAAATATCCCTGTGGGATTGAATTCGCATTTTCTAAAAGCCGGCCTGGTTGCGACGCTAATTCTGCTCAGACAGGTAAAGGCCAAAGCGACCCGCGAGGGAAGTAATATAGTATTGTTCGCGTCCCCTTCTCTTCTTTTCTCTCTCTCTCTCTCTCTCTCTCTCTCTCTCTCTCTCTCTCTCCCCCTCTCTCTCTCTCTCCCTTTCTCTCGCTCTCTTTTTCTCTCTCTTTCGCTCTTGTGTGTGTGTGTTAGTGTGTGTGCGTGTGCCGTGTGCGTGTGCGTCTGTGCGTGTGCGTGTGGCGGTGTGCGTGTGCGTGTGCGTGTGTGCGTGCGTGCGCGTGCTGCCGTGCTGCGTGGGTGCGTGCGTGCGTGCGTGCGTGCGTGCGTGTCTATCTGTCTGTCTGTCTGTCTGTCTGTCTGTCTATCTGTTATCTATCTGTCTGTCTGTTTGTCTGTCGGTCTCTCTTTCTATCTCTCTCTCTCTCCCTCTCGTCCTCTCTAGAATTAATGCGTGTAATGATAATGATGAACGAGTTTGAACGAGCCGATACATTGTTGGTATCTGCGCGTCGCACAGCCGTGTGGGGACTTTAGCTTGTTTAGCCTGTATCGGCCGTGTTACTCGCTGTGGTTAGTGCTATATAGTCGCCGAGCCCCGCTCCCGACGTGTTCTAACGTCGCACAGCCGTGTGGGGACTTTAGCTTGTTTAGCCTGTATCGGCCGTGTTCCGACGTGTTCTAACGTCGTACTGCCGTGCGTCGTCTGCGATGTTTTCAGATTTTTAAATGCATTAGTGAAACCGTAGCCTACGTAACAGTGGGCAGCAGCAACAGCGGTAGCAACAACATTAGCAGCAGCAGCAGCAGCAGCAGCAACGGAACAACAACAACGGCAGCGACAACAGCAACAGTACTAATAGCAGTAACAGCAACAGCAACAGCAGCAGCAGCAACAACAACAGCAGCAGCAGCAGCAGGGGCAGCAGCAGGCGTCCAGAGCATGTTATTTCACTTCGCAGCTCGATGGTGTTGTCGAAGTTTTAACCACCCGTCGATCGCTATCGGTCGGTAGGTAGCTAGTGAAGGACGCATTGATAGAACTGTAGTGGCTGATGAAGTATTGAGAGAAGCGGCAGTGGCTGGTGGAGCATCTATAAAAGTGGTAGCAGGCGGATTCTCTGATTTTCACAACGCAGTGAAGTGTCCAGCACTCGGGTCACACCGGTTGACATTTGTGTTATCGTATTAGAGCAAGCTAGGACTGTATGCGGGTGAGGTAGAAACAGAGAGAAAGAGAAAGAAAGGAAGAAGGAGAGAGGGGGAAAGAGAGAGAGAGAGAGAGAGAGAGAGAGAGAGAGAGGGGGAGGGAGAGAGAGAGAGAACAAAAGAAAGAAGGAGAGAGAGGGGAGAGAGAGAAAGAGAGGGGGAGCTAGTGCGATATCGTCATAAATCGGCGCTGAATTAGCATTCGCAGCTACTCGCTGCTATTGCGCACGTCTCTTCTATACAATGGCATGGCCATGACTCACCTGATGCTGGCGGCGACTCGATCGCGGCCGGATGGAAACAGCCGCGGGCGAGCACATAACACAGTCGTCAACGACTAGCGGGCCGATATGATCAAGGTGTAACCAGCATAGCGCCGCCATGACAGCCACTTGTTGGATCGCGTCGGTAATGATGTTATCACGAGACGCCACACTACCACGCAGTTAGCTAGCGTGCCGTGCTGTAATCAGCGACATATCGACGACGTATGTTGCTGAGTAGAGAAGGGAGAGCTTGTGGATCAAGGATAGTTTGGGACCCCGCAAATGTGCTTTCGCCTATGTGCTAAACTAATCCGGGGTGCTAAACTAATCCGGGGTGCTAAACTAGGCTTGGGCCGAGCCTGTGCTCGCACTCGGCTGTCGCTTTACCGTGTCGAGCTGTATATGGACGGACTCGCGGTCGCGCAGCATGCAGCGTACGGTGACGCGCGCGCGCTCTGTTGGCTGGTTGCCACGCACCGCTGTGTGACATCCACGGCGCCGTACAGCGGCCGACGCGACGCGGAGGAGTTGTCGTCGTAATCTCAACCCTGAGCAGCAGCAGTCCGCAGCTAGCATTTCGGCGACGAGTGGCAGCTGCTGCCGATGTCATGGTAAGCACCTGCGCGACATGAATCCGCTAGCGACGCAGCGCAAGCGGGGAGCGGAATCTGCGCGAGACTGCCCTCGCTCGCACGCGTGAGGGAGCAGTGGTGAGTGCGGCGGAGAGGGCGAGAGTGATAGCGTGCGATCATCTTTCTTGAAACGTCGTAACGTTACGTTGTTTATGAAGGTATAGTTAGCCGCTCGTGCAGGTAGCACACAGTACGCACTCGATATCACCGCTCAGCATAGCAGCGCCGCTTGAAGCTAACGGTGTAGCGTGTACCTAGTTCCAAGAAACGGTCTTGCTAGGGTTAGAATACCGTTGTATTGACGTTAGTCACACAGCCTGGTCGGGTTAGCGTGTAACCTGAGCGTATTCGTGCACAGGTGGTGGCCGCTCGTATGGCGGCGGTGTGCACTCCGACAGACGCGCGCGTGTATTATCCGCGCGTTATCTCGCGTGTGTTTCGTTGCTAAAGCAGCTGTGATAGCTGTCACTGCCGCACCGACAAACCGCAGGCTAGGGTTGATGCATCGACTCGCACCTGCTGGTCGAGCGTTGCCTCCTGCCACGTACACATACATCCGTCGCTGTGCTGCGCGCTGTGTTGCGGTCGACGACTTACCTCTACTCTAACGGCCGTCTCGACAATAGATGCCGCGCTTGGGAGGCTGACGTGAGTGACCAGCGGTGAAACAAATACGAAAAAACCTGACCCCCACCACCACCGAACGCCGGGGTCGCGCGCACAGACTAGTACGAGCGCCGCTGATGGCTGAGGTCGTATTAACTTGCGAATGCCGTAATTAACACTGCACTTCGTCTCGTGAGACATAGATACTCCGTTCATTGTCACACGTAGTCATCATCTCAGGTGGTCTCGTCAGGTCGGTCGCGATGTTCAGTTCTAAGAGCGACTCGGACCTGCCGCAGTTCAGCATCGGCGCCGTGAACATCGGCTACTTCGCGCGTAAGTTCGCGCAACACGAGTCGTCGTCGGACAGCGAGGCGACGGACGACGACAACGCCGACGCCGGCGGTGACGATGAAGCCGTGGAGTTGGGCGACCTCGGTGGTCGCATCAGGGAGGCGTGGACCTCCATGCACGTGGTGCGAAGCTTCAAGATGAAGTTCAACAGGTGGGTGGTAGACGCGGCAGCGGCTGAATGGCAGATAGCATTCGTGATACTGCATGTAAGATTCGAGGCATGTGTGGGTGGTAAGCCGGTGCAAAGCTAATTACCTTTGCAGGTTCATGATTCAGTTCAGATTCATGTTCTCATGAATGCAGTGACGTTGTTGGTGTATAAGGGCTGTTGTATTCCGGTATTGAGCTATTCAAGCATTGGGTGTCGTGTAGTGATGCTTTATATATAGGGTTTCCGTTATAGACATATTTAATGAGTACGAATTACAACATGATGTATGTAATACGGTAGATGTCTTCTGTAAACGCTATACAGTAAACCTGTTTATATATATATATATATATATAAGTGTAGTTAAAAGTAGAATACGAACTGCTCGCTCGCCCGTGGGGTCGTCTGGCTAGGGATAGCCTCACGTTGATTCCATGCTGGCAGGGTTATTGTGAGAGGCTTCTATCCATCCCGGTATTTCGACCCGTAGGTTGAATCCGTATGGTTGGATGGTGTTTAGATTGTGGATCCAATAGGCTTCTCTTTTCTTTCTGATGCGGATCGTGTGTGGATGGGGGGGGGGGTCCGAGAATATTTTTTCAATGCCCCTGCACTGAAAATTCGCTGCGGTGTGGTTGTCGCGTCTAAAATGAGCACATATATATACGTATGTATGCACGTGTGTGAACCTGAATATCTCGATGGGGTGTAGCAGATGTTGATTCACTTGTAGACGTATATGAAATGTTGCATTACGTGTGCAGGCGACACACTAACGTCCTTCGTTAACATGAAGCTGTCATCTACTGCTGATGCCTAATTAACTAACACTTAACACATACGAATCAACATTTGCCTGGTTTGCCTCTCGCACGTCAAACGTAATGTGTTCCATGTCACCCCGTGTGGCTAGTGACAGGTATTGTTAATGGTAATAATTTTGACGTTACCGGTATGGAAACGTGTCAGTAAAAATTGACACATGATACCAAGAGCACCCATAAGGAGCGTCTTGGTGATGTAATGATTCGCATACGTATTCGGCGTTACCAATACTAATGGAGGTTCTGCTCTGTGGACCGGCCCGTGCATGACAGTGACAGACCACGCCTCTCATGCTATACCCAATAACATAGAGAACTGAACTAGGATGGATTATGTTAAGGCAAAGCATCGATGGCAATGCGATATCAATAATAGCAACAGCGTATTAAGTATGCTTAATACGCTCTTGATAATATTAACAAGTAACAAGCCAATATATTAGTGTGATATAAATATAGCCTGTTCTGCTAGCATCTATGACAAATACGACATACGCATATACGGTCTCCGATGACACTATTTGTCATAGGAAGATTCTTCCTATGACAAATATTGTTGTATGTGTTGTGCGCATCATAGGAGTTTAGGAGCGCTATTATGAATGCAAGCAGTGAATTTCAGCTGTAAAGCAGAACGAAATTGACTCGCCAATATCTGTCATAGGAAGAATCTTCCTATGACAAATAGTGTCATAGGAGAGCGTATATGCGTATGTCGTATTTGTCATAGACGCAAGCAGAACGTTGCATAGTAATGCGATATCAATAATAGCAACAGCGTATTAAGTATGCTTAATACGCTTTTCGGAACATCAATAATAGCAGGACGTCGCTAGATGCCAGACATAAATAATTGGCCGACGTCAATACTAGCAGGACATCCGCGGAGACCTGAGGAGTATAGCGCCGCAATGTAATTGCGCCGCTTATGCATTCGCATCCTCCAGATTGCCTTCCGGCTGCTGCGGCCATTCAAAAACCACCCGACGCATGTCGTGAAGCCAGCAGCACTGCGCTCATAACATCGGCGAATTTGCAGCACGTACGAAATTGTCCCCGCGCGACAAATCAACCCCGGTTGTTACAACAGCGACGGCCTCTCGCGGGCGTGCGCGCGGGTGGAAGACAACTCGATCTCGGGCGGAGATATGCCGGCTTTTGAAACGGGTAAAGCCCGCAAGTGGTAATTTACTGCAAACATCGCGTGGGGAGGAGGCAGCAGCGGCGGCGGCAGCGGCAGTGGCTGCGCCTGTGTTGCACGCGACGTTATTCAGCTATGTCGCGCAGCTCAGCGAACGTCCGCAAGCACGAGGGGCGGCCGTAGCTATAGCTCCACTAGCTTCCATGACGAGCAGGCGCCGCAGCCTATAGCTCCACTAGCTTCCACTGACGAGCAGGCGGCCGCAGCTATAGCTCCACTAGCCTCCACTGACGAGCAGGGAGCCGCAGCTATAGCTCCACTAGCCTCCACTGACGAGCAGCGCGCCCAGCTATAGCTCCACTAGCCTCCACTGACGAGCAGGCAGCCGCAGCTATAGCTCCACTAGCTCCACTGACGAGCAGGCAGCCGCAGCTATAGCTCCACTAGCCTCCACTGACGAGCAGCGCCGCCGCAGCTATAGCTCCACTTAGCCTCCACTGACGAGCAGGCAGCCGCAGCTATAGCTCCACTAGCCTCCACTGACGAGCAGGCAGCCGCAGCTATAGCTCCACTGCCTCCACTGACGAGCAGGCGGCCGCAGCTATAGCCCACTAGCCTCCACTGACGAGCAGGCAGCCGCAGCTATAGCTCCACTAGCCTCACTGACGCAGCAGGCGGCCGTAGCTATAGCTCCACTAAGCCTCCACTGACGAAGCAGGCGGCCGCAGCTATAGCTCTACTAGGCCTCCACTGACGAGCAGGCAGGCCGCGCTATAGCTCCACTAGCCTCCACTGACGAGCAGGCGGCGCCAGCTATAGCCTCCACTAGCCTCCACTGACGAGCAGGCGGCCGCAGCTATAGCTCCACTAGCCTCCACTGACGAGCAGGCGGCCGCAGCTATAGCTCCACTAGCCTCACTGACGAGCAGGCAGCCGCAGCTAAGGCTTCCACTAGCCTCCACCTGACGAGCAGGCGGCCGCAGCGTATAGCCTCCACTAGCCTCACTGACGAGCAGGCAGGTCAGCTATAGCTCACTAGCCTCCACTGACGAGCAGGCGGCCGTAGCTATAGACTCCACTAGCCTCCACTGACGAGCAGCGGCCGCAGCTATAGCTCCTCTTAGCCTCCACTGACGAGCAGGCCAGCCGCAGCTTATAGCTCTTACTAAGCCTCCACTGACGAGCAGGGCCGCAGCTATAGCTCCACTAGCCTCCACTGACGAGCAGGCGGCCGTAGCTATAGCTCCACTAGCCTCCACTGACGAGCAGGCGGCCGTAGCTATAGCTCCACTAGCCTCCACTGACGAGCAGGCGGCCGCAGCTATAGCTCCTCTAGCCTCACTGACGAGCAGGCGGCCCGTAGCTTATAGCTCTCACTAGCCTCACTGACGAGCAGAGGCGGCCGCAGCTATAGCTCCTCTAGCCTCCACTGACGCGCAGGCAGCCGCAGCTATAGCTCCACTAGCCTCCACTGACGAGCAGGCAGCGCAGCTATAGCTCCATTAGCCCTCCACTGACGAGCAGGCAGCCGCAGCTATAGCTCATTAGCCTCACTGACGAGCAGGCGGCCGCAGCTATAGCTCCACTAGCCTCCACTGACGAGCAGGCGGCCGCAGCCTATAGCTCCACTAGCCTCCACTGACGAGCAGGCAGCCGTAGCTATAGCCTCCACTAGCCTCCACTGACGAGCAGGCGCCCGTAGCTATAGCCTCCACTAGCCTCCACTGACGAGCAGGCGCCGCAGCTATAGCTCCTCTAGCCTCCACTGACGAGCAGGCAGCCGCAGCTATAGCTCTACTAGCATCCACCTGACGAGCAGGCGCCGCAGCTATAGCCTCACTAGCCTCCACTGACGAGCAGGCGGCCGCCAGCTATAGCTCCACTAGCCTCCACTGACGAGCAGGCGGCCGCAGCTATAGCTCCACTAGCCTCCACTTGACGAGCAGGCGGCCGCAGCTAATAGCTCCACTAGCCTCCACTGACGAGCAGGCAGCCGCAGCTAGGCTCCACTAGCCTCCACTGACGAGCAGGCGGCCGCAGCTATAGCTCCACTAGCCTCCACTGACGCAGGCAGGCAGCCGTAGCTATAGCTCCACTAGCCTCCACTGACGAGCAGGCGGCCGTAGCTATAGCTCCACTAGCCTCCACTGACGAGCAGGCAGCCGTAGCTATAGCTCCACTAGCCTCCACTGACGAGCAGGCGGCCGCAGCATATAGCCTCCACTAGCCTCCACTGACGAGCAGGCAGCCGCAGCTATAGCTCTACTAGCCTCCACTGACGAGCAGGCGGCCGCAGCTATAGGCTCCACTAGCCTCCACTGACGAGCAGGCGCCGTAGCTATAGCCTCCACTAGCCTCCACTGACGAGCAGGCGCCCGCAGCTATAGCTCCACTGGCCTCACTGACGAGCAGGCGGCCGCAGCTATAGCTCCACTAGCCTCCACTGACGAGCAGGCGGCCGTAGCTATAGTTCCACTAGCTCCACTGACGAGCAGGCGGCCGTAGCTATAGCTCCACTAGCCTCCACTGACGCAGCAGGCGGCCGCAGCTATAGCTCCATTAGCCTCCACTGACGAGCAGGCAGCGCAGCTATAGCTCTACTAGCCTCCACTGACGAGCAGGCAGCCGCAGCTATAGCTCCACTAGCCTCCACTGACGAGCAGGCGGCCGCAGCATAGCCTCACTAGCCTCCACTGACGAGCAGGCAGCCGCAGCTATAGCTCCACTAGCCTCCACTGACGAGCAGGCGGCCGTAGCTATAGCTCCACTAGCCTCCACTGACGAGCAGGCGGCCGCAGCTATAGCTCCACTAGCCTCCACTGACGCAGCAGGCGCCGCAGCTATAGCTCACTAGCCACTGACGAGCAGGCGGCCGTAGCTATAGTTCCACTAGCCTCCACTGACGAGCAGCGGCAGCCGTAGCTATAGCTCACTAGCCTCACTGACGAGCAGGCGCCGCGTATAGCTCCATTAGCCTCCACTGACGAGCAGGCAGCCGCAGCTATAGCCTCTACTAGCCTCCACTGACGAGCAGG